CATCTGTTATTACAAACCGCTGCTGCTGTGACCTTGGCTGTGCTATGCTAAGATAATGTAGTTATTCACAGGCATTCCTCCCCCCTCATCTGGCCCGCAATGCCTGCTTTTGCTCTTGAGGCAATATGTAGACTAAATAGATATGTTTGCTTCCTCACTTATGTCAAGCAATAACATCCAATGTTAGCAGACTTGACATTTAATTTCACAGTGCTTGTGGGTATACAATATTTTTTGTTGTTCCATTGTCTGTGCATCAATTCCAACGCAATGTCACACGAAATAATTAAATCAAAATGAAAATAAATCGAAATCTATGAAAATTCAATTTAACAATGCAATCGGAAACATTGAAATGGAATCGTAAAATTGGAAATTTGGAAATCGTAAATCGGAAACATTGAAATGGAATGGTAAAATCGTAGCATGTGTTGCTTTTATGTCCAACAGATGGTGCTGTTTTTCAAAAAGTTTTTACCTGTCACAGGTGTGACATCTATATAATATAGGTATATAAAAACACACGCGTATGCGAATGCAATGTTGTGTTAAAATTTCAAAGCAATCGGTGAAGAACTTTTGGAGATTTAAGATTTTGAACAAAAGAACATTTACATTTTTATTTATATATAGATATAGATATATCTTAAATATTCTGTGCCTTTTTCATTACTGGGATTTTATGCTGGGTTTAATGCTTCTCCTTCTGATTTTCAACTGATTATCTTCCTCCATTTTCTACTTAAAAGCCTCCAGTGATGGGACACCCACAATTTCTAAAGGCAGGCCCTTCCTCTAGTTGATTGTTCTCACCATTAGGAAATTACTCCTTAGTTCTAGGTTGGTTTTCTACCTGATGAGTCTCCACCCATTGCTTCTTGTCCTGCCCTTAGGTGCTTTGGAAAATAGGTTGACCCCCTCTTATTTGTGGCAGCCCCTCAAATATTGGAACACTGCTATCATGTCCCCCCTAATTCATTTTTTCTCTAGACCAGCCATACCCGGTTCCTGCAGCTGTTCTTCATACGTTTTAGCCTCCAGAACCCTGATCATCCTAGTTCAGGGGTAGGCAACCTTGGCTCTTTTATGACTCGTGGACTTCAACTCCCAGAATTCCTGAGCCAGCCAAGCTGGCTCAGGAATTCTGGGAATTGAAGTCCACAAGTCATAAAAGAGCCAAGGTTGCCTACCCCTGTCCTAGTTGCTCTTCTCTGTGCTCTTTCAAATATTTTGAACATGCCTTGAGAGTGCATGTTCATAAGTAAATGTCATACAGCCCAAGAAAACGTCTTATTTCTAGGATTGACTCTGCTGGATGTGTTAATATATTGTGCTTTTCATGTACTTGGACTTGTTAAAGAGAGAGGATTTCCTCTAGGCTTAGCCACTTCTTCATAACTCCCCAAGAAAGATCATGGCTTGTACTGAATATAAGATGCCGCTCTCTACCCCAACAGGTGGAGAGAAACAATATTGACTTGAAGCAGCTTTGGGCCGGCATGTCACCTGTCAATCAAAAGAGGTCAGAAGCCAGACAGGGAGGAGGAAGCTGTAGAAATGAGGTAGAATTGTCGCCTTCACACAACTTCCTGAGCCACCCCTGGGCTTGCAGGGTTTCTCAACCTCAGCAACTCTTCAGATATTTGGACTTCAACCCCAGAAGTCCCTAGGAAGCAGGGAATTCTGGGAACTGAAGTCCATAAGAAAGATGGCAAATGTATGTGTCCCAAGATAATGTTGCAGGATCCAATCGAGGTTGGTCACTCTGTAAGGACCTAGCTGTCAACGCTGCTAACACTGGATGTTCTTGCTTTGACAATATATAAAGAAGCAGCCGCTTATAAGCTGTGTGGTATTTTTAGAGTTAAATTAGATGATGCTGGGAGGGGAGGAGAATGAATGTGTGTGGGGATTAGTTAAGATAAGAAACCAGAAGGGAAGGGAAACTTTGCCCTTCAAACTGATTGGAGAACGTGATTTATGACTGCAAATAAGAGGAGGAAAATAGGCTGGAATAGTATGTGCTTAGGGGAGGGGAATTCAGATCTTGGCATCCTCCATGCTGTGCCGACACTTTGTTACACGATTAAAGACTTTTTAGGATAAACAATGCCTGGAAGTTCTTTGAAGTGCTTCGTTAATCGGAACCATGACACTACCTCAGGTAAGCCACCCAGGAAAGCAGAGCTCTTGAAAGAGGCATTGTCTCAAATGTTTATTTCCTTGATAAAGTCTTAAAGTTGCTGAGGGTGAGAAACTGGGCTGGGCTAGAGCTGGCTGCATTTCGGCCTCGCTTCCTCTGCAAAGCCAGCCCCACAGGACCAGCGTGTTCGCCAGGGGGTCATGTGAACCCAGGCAGTTGGGCTAACTTAACCAAGTCCTTCCAACAGGGGTGGGCAAACTTGGCCCTTTTATGACTTGTGGACTTCGACTCCCAGAATTCCTGAGCCAGTTTGGAAACCTCTCCCTTTTCCCTCAGCATGGCTGGCTCAGGAATTCTGGGAGTTGAAGTCCACGAGTCACAAAAGAGCCAAGGTTGCCTATCCCTGCTCTAGGCTGCTGTTTCTCGGCCTTAGTTAAGATGGACTTCGACTCCCAGAATTCCTCAGCCAGCATGGTCATTGCAAAGGATACAGGGAATTGAAGTCCATGCATAAAGAATGGTCTAGGTAACCTTGGCTCTTTTATGACTCATGGACTTCAACTCCCAGAATTCCTGAGCCAGCCTGGCTCAGCTTGGAAACCTCTCCCTTTCCCCTCAGCATGGCTGGCTCAGGAATTCTGGGAGTTGAAGTCCATGAGTTATAAAAGAGCCAAGGTTACCTACATCTGGCCTAGGCCTAGGCCGCTTTATGACTCATGGACTTTAACTCCCAGAATTCCTGAGCCAGCGTGGGGGAACTATGGCCCCCTCATGACTGGTGGACTTCGACTCCCAGAATTCTTCAGCCAGCATGGTCATTGCAAAGGATACAGGGAATTGAAGTCCATGCATAAAGAATGGTCTAGGCCAGGGCTAGGCGACCTTGGCTCTTTTATGATTCATGGACTTCAACTCCCAGAATTCCTGAGCCAGCCTGCATCGATCTGTTTGCATTGGGGAGGGACCCAGGAAATACGGTATGTGGCTTTATATAAATAATGATACCTGAGATAGATTTGTTGTAGGGGTTAAAAGCACCAGTAGTTTTGTTTTCTTTCTCCTGTTTAGTCGAGGCTACTAGCGGGATGTTTGCAGCATGTCCACTATGGCGCGACGTCCTTTACTAAAATACTTCCTTTACTAAGTACATACTACGGGCTCCGCTTTTTATCTTTGCCATGAGCACAGTTTGTATATTCAGTAAGTATTTGGTTGCAGATTCCCTTACAGGCCTTGAAAAATTGGGCCCCCGAAAAGCGCTGGATTTGCTGTGGTGTTTTACACAATGCTGCATCTGGAGAACAGGCCAGGACTCCAATTCCTGTGCCAGAATAAAGATGAGTTGAGGAAAGAAGGGGGGGGGGAATGGCACCGTTTTGTCCGTTACTATCCTTCCTACAGGGTGGGGGTTTTCGTTTTGCTTCCCCTTGCATTTGCGGTAAATGCAAGCAGTCCCGATCTTCGGGAGACACGGAGGCGGTGCTGTGTGGTCCTTTGAGCTGGGAGTTTTAGAGGATGTTCTCCAGCCTGTAGCCATAGCCGATGACTTGATCTATCAGGTTTGGCAGCAGCTCTAGGTAGATCAGGACGGGCTTCACGGCCCAAAAAGGATAGAAGACCTCGCGGTAACGCAACACTCCGCCCCTCACAATCCGCTGGGCACACTCTTCTTTGGGACTGGGCCTCTGGGTGATTTTGTTGCCCACAGACTTCAGGGCCGTTTCTACAGAAAAGAGCCAAAAATGGGTGGTCAGCCCAAGAGGAGGGCGCTGGGTTTGGGCAAGCGGACGTTTCGATATGTCACTCACCAGTGTCAATGTAGCCCAGCACAGCCACAGTGATGGGCAGCTCTATCTTCCGCAGGTACAACTCGGTGCGCAGCGAGGTGAAGAATCCTTCCACGGCAAACTTGGCTGCTGAGTAGGGGATGCTGAAAGGACACGGAAGACGCCCTAGGAAGAAGAGGGAGAGGTTGGCGTGGAAGGAGGAACCGTTTACCCCCAAAGTTTCCTCCTCCTCCTCCTCCTCCTCCTCCTCCTCCTCCTCCTTTCAATCTTTCCCCCAATGGTACTCTCTTCCATGTCCAGTTTAATATAGGTCAGTGGTGGCGAACCTATGGCACGCGTGCCAGAGGTGGCACTCAGAGCGCTCTCTGTGGGCACGCGTGTCGTGCCCCGGAGATGGCGAGGGACTGGCCCCTGCCGCCCTGGCCCTGCCCACCCAGTCTGCCATGACCACTGCAGCCACACCCACCCGGCACTCGGTGATAAATAAGTGGGTTTTTGTTTGCAGTTTGGGCACTGGGTCTCTAAAAGGTTCGCCATCACTGATATAGGTAGTCCTTGACACAGGACCATAATGGAGTCTGCCCATCAGGCTCAATTTCACAACCTTTTTTGTAGCAGTCATTAAGCAAAACACTGCAGTCGTTTAGGGAACCGATGGTTTGCTATGGGCCTGGTTTTGCAGGAGATCAGAAGTGCCAATTTTGGGCAATGTCTTCATTGAGAAGCGATGGTTGCATGGAGTGGATTTCTATGGAGATTCTCCGTCATCCAGGTCACGGTTGTCCCAAAGATGCTTTTTTCAGGAGGCAACTGGACTCTCTTGTTTTTCTTTGAAGACGTTTCGCTTCTCAGCCAAGAAGCTTCTTCTGCTCAGGAGCTGAAGAAGCTTCTCATCTTCAAAGAAAAAGAAGAAAGTCCGGTTGCCTCGTGAAAAAGCATCTTTGGGATACGGAGTGGATGAGATCTTCAGGAAGAAAGAGACCCAGACATTTGGAGAAGAATAGACAATGAATGAAGGGGGGTATAGAAGGAACACAAGGAAGGACGGGGTGCAAGAAGAGAAAGGGATGAGGAATTGGAGCTGGTGCTGGGGTGACACTAGGAAGCAAATTGTCTGTCGTCAGACTGAGAACTGGAAGGATCACGTGCAGGAGATCTGTCAGCATGAATGAATGCCCCCACTGCGGGATCCACCCACGTGCCAGCCTGTGAGGATTGCGGTGCCTACCAGCCATGGAGGAGACAACCACGATGTTCCCCTTAGATTCCAGCAATAGGTCCATGGCAGAGATGGTTAACTGGACGTAGCTGAAGAAGTTCAGATTCATGGACGTGATCACCGACTCCATTGATCCTTTGAAGGGACCAAATGAGGTTCCGCCAACGTGGTTCAGAACCAACTGGTCGAGACCTCCTGGGGGAGAAAAGGACAGGGAGGCATTTAGTGCCCAAACACACAAAAAGCAAATCACAAAAAGCAAACTGATCTTTTTCTGGTGCTGGCTTGCTGCCCCCCCCCCCCCCCCGAGGGGGTCTTCCAGCACAGAGCCCCCGGGCAGGGCAGCTGGGCACGCAGAGAGCTGCAAAGGGGCTGGATCCTGACATCACAGGTCAGCAGGAGCTCCAGCCTTGAGGAAGCCTAGTACGGGCAAAGGTCGGTCAGCCAGGCCAGCACAGGGCAAGGCATTGAGATATCTTGGGTCTTAAAGCCTCTGTAGGGCCAGGAGCCAAAATGGTCGATCCTCTAGAACAGGAAAGCCGCCCCTCACCCCCAAAGCTGCCCCCCCATTGCTGGCCATCCTTGCTTTTCCTACTCACTTTATTGTGTTA